AACCAACATTAGGTAAAAAAAATTTAGTTACACTCAGACCTGATAAAGCAATTTCTCACACTTATCTATAGAAGTGTGTATGTGTGTGTGTGTGTGTGTGTGTCTCATTGGTATTTAAATATTCCTTCTTCCTTGAAAGCTTCCAATGCCCCTCTGTAATCATCCAAGTCTTCTTTGTAGGAAAACTTTTCCTTAATTGTCTTACAAATGATGGTTGATTTTTCTCTTTCAAATATATTTTTCCATGAACAGATAAACTTTTTTCCTAAAAATATATAGACTGTACTAAGACTCCTTCACAAAAAGGTATTTCAAGATAAGATTACCTTGTTTGGATAAAACATGTGTGTGTGTGTGTGTGTGTGTGTGTGTGCACGTGTGTACATCTATGTGTATGTGTAAAATAAAAGTTTAAAAGTTTCATAGTTTTTGGTTTAACCTACAATAATTACACTCATTATATACGTGTGTGTGTGTGTGTGTGTGTGCGTGTGTGTATACATAGTGAAAATCTCATAGTTTCAGGGTTATTTAAAATAGGTTAATTAGAGGGCCAAGAGGATCCAGGATAGAGTTTTGAGTATAAGGATTATGAGATACTTTGAATCAGCCTGACTTTTTCCTAGGATTAGAGTCCAGTGGGTAAAGTTGTTGGTGGCCCTGTATGGTAAGACACACGACAATGAACTACTTTATAGCAGTTAGTATGGTTCACAATGTTCACTCTGTGTTTCCAGTGTCTTCATCCTGCATGTATTTTGTCTTTTGAGTTTTTGCTTACCTTTCCCATCATAGTTGTATCTTGGATGTTTGTTCCTTTGTAACTTCTAAATGTTGTATACATTGTTTTCTATTGACGGCAGGATCTGTCCCTCATCCTCACCTCACAAATGAATGAATATAAGATGTATCGGTGGTGAATCAGGCCTAAAAAAAAAGTGTTATGAATAATTCTTTCCTACTCTATCCCCTTTCTTTTATGCCTCATCTTATAATAATCTCTTCAATCTCTCCCTGTTTCCCAGTGCAGTACCTTTTTGTTTTTTATCGACTCATATTAAAAATTAGCTGATCAATAAATGGGGAATTACTAAATATTAGAGTTAGTTTATAGATAAATGTATGGTCTCAAGTAAGACACTTAGAGATAAAATGTAAATCCCTCTTCTTGAAGTAAGGTCAGTCTATTAGTGCTTCACACTATTTGTTTGTTTTTTTTCTTCTATGAGACAAAATTACATACAAGTATATTGATCTTAAATATGGTGAGAATGTATTGGCTCCTTATCTCAGTTTCGATACCTGTCACTCATAAGAAAATTCCTTAAGCTTCTACCATCCCCCTTATCCTCCCTATAAAATGGATATCATGCCAACAACAACATCTACTTACTTGTCTTGCTGGAGATTTAAATTAGATATAATTGAAAAGCACACAGTATGGTGTCCTGTACAGGTATGTGCTACATAATTTTTAGTTACTTTTTTTGTATCAAATGCCTTGAATATAGTTAGATGAATTTTGTTCTATAAAAGGTTTTGATCTTGTAAGTAGTTAAGAATTACAAGGCTGACAAGATGCTTCAGTGGGTGCTTGCCCTACAATCCTGATGACCTGAGTTTGATTGCCCGGACCTAGAGTAGAGGGCAAGAACCAGATCCCACAAGTGGTCCTCTGACTTCCAAACACAGACCATAGAATGTGTTCACACACTCACACATACACACACACAAATAACAATAATAATAATTTTAATAAAGAACAAAGTACCAACTTTTAAGTTTATATTAGGGAAATCATAATGTCTATACACACACACATACATCTTTCTGATCTTTGTTCACATGAGGTAAATTTCATAAGCATCCTTGTAGAAGAGTGTTTATTAGCTCTCAGAGCCTCCAGCCTCTATTATAGTCCTATCAACCAAAAAGAGTTTGCGGTCTCAGAAGTTATTTGGGAATATTTCAAAATGTGTTATATAGTCAGCCCTAGGAGATATAACTGGTCTCTATAAGGTAACAGCCAGATATATTACCTATGCAGCCGATAGTACAAAGGATATCCCCATAAGGAAGACTCTTTTCCCTCAAATGCCATGATACGCCACTCTTGAGAAACCTTGGATTCTTGGAAAAGGGAAAAATCCGGTTAGGAAACTCCTACAGATAATTCAAATGTATTTGAATGATGCCTGTCCACAGCAAGAAAGGGTCGGGTTATGATCAGTTTTTTTTTTCCCTTGAGAACAGGCTGATTTTGTGATTTTACGATCTGGGGTATATTATTTGGGCATAATTACATGTTTAAATGGACCACCATGTCCTTGAAAGCTCCACCATGAGATCCTCTGGATTATAAGGGACCCGTTGAATATGAAACGATGGATACAAAGATTAGTTCATGTACTTTAGAGGACTACTGTCAACTCTTGCCATACTCTTTATCTGAACTACTTGTTGAAGGTTACAGTGCATAACTACTTTTTATTGAAGTGATGACTACAAAAGATATCTACTTTAAGAATTTTTGTATCAGTGACACAGATTAGCAATGGTACAGTTTAAGGCTTTTAAGCAGACATAATCAAGTAGCATTTATCATTTACGCATTCCCTCCTCTGTACTCCCTTTTTGCAGTCACTAAAATTGCTATCCGAAAGTGACATTAATGGCATTTCCCTCTAGTTGAGTAGTAGTTGTGACTCTTGTTGGCTTTTTTGCTCAATATGAAAATGGTTTCTTGTGACTCTCTGAACTGTTTTCCTTAGCGGTCTCTAATTGGCTCACCACCGTGCCATTTACTTTTCTAATAAAGTTTTGGGGTTGTGTGCTTGTGTTTGCCTGCATGCTTGTGCATGTTTAGGTTTCCGCTTAAAGTTCAGTGCCAAAGCTACAGTACCGATACATTTTCTAAATGTGTTTTAAGCAATAAGTTGTACAACATTTTTAGAACATGTGTTAAACTATTTCTCTAAGAATGAAGCTCTTAACAAAACATAAGCACTCTGCATGAGATCTTAGCAGCAAAGTGCTTAAAAGATAAAGTAAGAATTGGTACCATGGGAAGAACACCAGCTGTAGAGCGCACAGGTCCATTATGAGAAGTATGGTAGTGGGTAGGGAGAAAATGATTTAATCAGGAGTAAAACCAATTTTATTATAAGGGCACGCAGGGGGTGTGGCGCCATAGGGAGAGGGACATTTCAAAATATCTGACAGATTTCAACAATGTGAAAACCTCGTTCTTTAAAGTGACAGTAAACCCCATCAGGTCTCCCTTTTTGATGCTATTGTTAACAGCTGACTGTTTAAAGCTGGCCTGCTAAGATGCTGTCGGCCTATTTCAATAGTGCGCAGCGGAAGAAAAGACTAATTGTTGAAATACAATCAATCAAAATGATTGCAGGGCAGAGAGAAGGTCTCCTCTGATGATTTTGTTGGGAGTCATATTAGTGTGTTATGATTGAGATTCGGAAGATGATTGAAAGGAAGACAGAAAAAGCCCTGTGACATAAAGAGATCCACCTCATCCCCCCTTTCACAGACATAGTACTGAGCAGGAACTTAACTTATGAACACTGAAAATAATAGTCCATCAGGAAAAAACAGATCTGATAGTGATGTGGGCTAATATTTTTTAAAGGATATGAACACTATTAGCAAAACAGCTCCTGCAGAGAATCCCTATGGTGACAGTTCTCAGCTTTTCTTACTTCTCCCCCCACCCCCACTTTGGTGCAAAATGCTCATAGAGCTCACACTGTGGGGGCATGTGACTGTGAGCTGAGACAGCATCAAAACAGAGAAAAAGTCCAGTTAGCCAAATACCTATAAGTTCTTACGAGGATTCCTGGATTTTCGGTTAACTCTATATTGTAACTGACAACTTTGTACTGCTTTAAGAATCAAAAATCGTTTCTATGTAGCTTATCCTATAGATGAGCAGAAACGCCATAGTATCTTTCTTCCTCTTAATTAGATGTAAAGATGCCACTTCCAGACAACTAGCATCCCTTGTGTCTATGAGAATGATCCCAGATTTTCCTACTCACAGTCAAAGGATGGTGAGAGTCACCTAGCACACTCGCTTGCTACTGAGCATTCGCTTTGGCATCTAAGTTCTCCAGTGTGTCACTGTGGCAACTCGCTCCGGCTTCCCAAGCAAATATTTTTGTTAGTTCCAAAGAGTTGGTTAGCATTTGTGGTTTGTCTTCGGCATGTTATCATTTTGGCAGCTTTGCATAGCCCGCATAGGCCAACAGGGGTCTGTCTAATATTGTTGCTGGGCACATTTTTCTCACTGAGATGAAAACTGAAGAAAAATATTTCTAAAGCAGTAAGAAGAAATTAATTTACTTTCTCCTCCATATTCTATTCCTTGCTGACTTTACATTCAAGAGGAGAGAGAGAGAGAGAGAGAGAGAGAGAGAGAGAGAGAGAGAGAGAGAGAGAGAGAGAGAGAAACTGAGAAAGAGACAGAGAGAGAAAGAAAAATAAAAGTGTTAGCCATTATTCCCTTGTACATAGCAAAGCTAACACATGTAAAGCAATAACCCGTTTTCTATTGCCATGTTTAGCATATGTCTCTTGTTGGCTCAGCAAGGCCTTCAGGCCGGTCCCTTGAGCCAGCCATCGCTGGCAACTCTTAGCCCCTCGGCCTCAAAACCAAATAGCTTTGAATCATGTTGCGCTGTGATGCTAATTTTCATACTGATGCATTATGGGAATAACCGTATCTGACATACTGTGTCAATGGTACTGTCTCTTTGTGTCCCTTGTTTTTTGTTAGCTGCATTCCTACAGATGGTATTCCATTGAAAATGTTCCCTTCCTACAGAAAACGGGAAGAAAAAAAATCCATGCACAGCACCAAACCTCTAGGTGCAGAAGGCTGTTAACGGTTGCTGATGATAGTAGGCAAACATTAACATAATAATTAGTGTCTTGTAATTGTTTCATTAAAACCAGTTGTTCCATTTCTCCTCGTGTTTTCCCAGAAGAGAAGCTGAATTTGGATGACAGCCAGTGGGAGGACATCCACGTCGTCACCGGAGCACTGAAGATGTTTTTCCGGGAGCTGTCTGAACCGCTCTTCCCTTACAGTTTCTTTGAGCGGTTTGTGGAGGCGATCAGTAAGTATGCCCCATAAAGAAACCGGGTGCGGTGAAATTATTAACAATAATGAGATCAATACCGATCATGACCACAGAGAACAGAATATGTGCCCCATGCTCGTATCTGTGTCCTTGGGTTTTGTCATTTGGGTGGCTTGTTTTATTTCTCACCCTGAAATATTATCTGAGCTTTAAAACAAAGATTATCCAGAGAGAGAGAGAGAGAGAGAGAGAGAGAGAGAGAGAGAGAGAGAGAGAGAGAGAGAGATCTATTTAAGGCCACCAAATTTAAGCTTTCTCAAATGAAAATAGCTTCTCTTGCAATCTGCTTTATAGGGTCATCGCGTGTACTCCCAGTCCCTGCCTTTATATTTTCAGAATTGCACTGTTTGCAGACAAAGAGATCTTGCAAGGGAATCTAAATATATTAAATATTGTGTTTCATTAAATATGTGTTAAATCATCAGTTCCATCTTCTTTTGGCTCCCTCATTTGTTCCCACACCAAGAGCAGTAACTAGCTACAGTTGGCTTCTGAGTAGCTGAGAAGGTTAAGGGTCAGCAAGTTTCCTTTATTGGATACATTACAGGAGAAGGAGTTACATGGCTCCATGAAGCTTCTTTTTCTGATATATTATTTTCTCATTTATAAAAGGGATGATCTAAAGTAAAATGGTATAAAGGAATGAATGAATGAATGAATGAATGAATGAATGAATGAAAAATATCTTTTCCTGTAAGAAAACTTTTGCTGTAGATCCTTGGGAAAGCAAACACTTGAATATCACTAAATTTAATATTATCGGGTACATTTACTATAATTGTGACAGCTTGGAAACATCTCCTGGCAAGCAGGCTGATATAAGAAGGACAGAGAAAGAGAAAAAAAAAAGAAAGGTAAAATTAAAAAGCTTGCAAGCCTGGCAGGAGCTTAATTAAAGTCCCAACAAGAAAAATCTCCAAGGAAAAACGTTCCTCTTAGGAGGTCTGATCTTGGATGCTGTGTGTGAAGGCTTCCCAGTAGTAGGAGCGAGGACTTGGGGGCCAATGCTGGGAAAAAAAAAGCCCTCCAATATGCCCTTTCATTCTTTTTTTTTTTCACTGGGAAAAATTCTTCACACTCTTTTAAAGCTTTGTTAAATGAAATCAATAGGATAAAGAGGAGGGTTTCTTTCCCAGTCTCTCCTTTATCCTGCTCACAGTTTCAGATTGTCTTGTCTGGCTATTGTGTAAGGACGTAAGAGTACTCTTGTCTTGGGGTTAGGGTGAACCTAGAGTTCTTAGCCCTCTGGAGAGCAATGAGTCATAGTTCTCAGGTTCTCCAACCTACAACTTAAAAAGAATAATAAAGAAATCGTGAGTATCTCATTCACTGCAGTTGGATGTTCTGTCTTAGTTCACACATGCACATACACTGGGAGAGCAATCTGGGAAATGATAAAGACTTCTGTGCAGATTTCTTTCTTAATTGTATATATTTAGTAATGTGTGTGTCACATTGTAACCTCTAGGCTTTTAGGTGACAATTATCTCATCTGGAAACATACTTGCATATCTCTTGAGCAGGGGAATATTATATAAGATATCCATCAATTAAGCTTCCTACTTCTTTTAATTCACACGACTCCAAAGAGAGAGTCATCCCATAGGCTAAGCATATGGAAAGCAGTACCTCAGAGCTCATATGGGTATGTGTCCTTTGAATCCCTACAAGACATGTGGTCATTTCTAAGATATTTTAGACTTAAACCTGAACTGGACCTAGTTTCAGCAATGCAGGCATAATTAGAACCGAACAGCAAAGAGGAGACAGGCAGCAGGCTCTTAGGAGTGGCTTAGAGAGAGCCTTTGCAGACAATTATAAAATAGGTAATCGTGCAAATGAAGAAGAGCATGCTTAATAAAGTCCATTTTAAAATTCAAGATGTTGTACACATGCTGGCAGTTGCTTTTTAGGTGACCTATGTTGAGAAAGCAATCTGAAAATGAAGAGATAAAATATCTCTCATTAAAATTCATGTGTTGAAACTCCTGAGAGGTGGGGTCTTTAGTAGGTGATTGAGGCATAAGGCAGAGCACTCCTGATAAGGTTAACAACCTTATAAAAGACTCTCTAGGGACCCTGAGGCAGTTCAGAAGGCGAAGTTGCTTATTACCAAGCCTACAGACTTGTATTTTCTCCCTGGAACCTATATGGTGGAAGGAGACAACTGACTCCTACAAGCTGTCATCTAACTTTCATACATATGCCATGGAACATTCATAATGACATACATAGATAGATAGATAGATAGATAGATAGATAGATAGATACATATGGACATACTATGTACATATGTATATACATAGATACATAGATACAATAGATATATACATAAATACATAGTTAGATACATAAATACATGAATGGATAGATACATACACGCATACATCCATAGATACATAGATAGATAGATAGATACATACATACATACATACATACATACATACATAGATGAATGGATAGATGATAGATAGATGATAGAAAACTCTATTATGAACTAAAAGGAAGTAAAAATTACATATATATATATTAATTATATATATTATAATTACTAAAAGGAAGTAAAAAAATTTTAAAAAGACCTAGAGTAATACCTTATCTCTTCCAATCATGTGAGGACACAGCTAACTATCACTGTCAAATGAAGCAGAAAATGCTTCCTCAGCACTCAATGTTATTGACTTGGTCTTAGCCCCTAAAACTGCACTGTATACATTATAGGTATGCAGTTTGTGATACTTTTGTAGAAGGACAATTGGACTACAGTTCTTGGCAATCTTGCCTTAACAAATCAAAAATACCAGAATGCCACTGTGTGATGTACAAAATGTGGGGAAGAAGCCATAGATAAAATGGTAGAGAATATGTTGCAATGCTAGACAAACCAAGATATACCAACTATGTACATGCATTTTTAACATAAACTTTATTTTTTCTGCGCTTGGTATAGATCACAGTGCCTCTAGTATGCTAGGTAAATGGTCTGCCCTTGAGCAATACCCTCAGTTCTGTGTTCTAAACTCTTCAGAAGCTCTAGACAATTATTCTAATTTAAATATCACTCAGGAATGAGGAAGTGGTTACTTTGATATTCAGTACTTAGAGAAGTCATACCAGAGGGGGCGATTTTAAATAGCCTTAACATAATTAAGCCTAATTTTTTTTCAAAATTATGTGGACATTTATATGCTGGCATAGAAGAGTCTTGGATTTTGTCACAATTCACATTGTGCTGCTTGGACAGTTATAATAGTTCCCAATACAAGTTCACATGTCCACGCTGTTAACTCTTCTCAAAGAGAATATGCTGTGTGTGCTGTTTGTGTCTGAGCCCCATTACCCATGTTATCCACAGATCCTTGTCCTGCTCTCCTCTGTGCTCTACACCATCATGGGGTTGGCCCTAAGCAGAAAGATTTCACAGATATACTTGGGAACTAGTAGCCATGGCAGAGGGTAGACAACCACTGGCAGAGACAGCAGGTAGAGGAGTGTGTTAATCATATTTTCATTTCTATGAGCAAATGTCTCCCAGAAGCCACTTAAAGGTTAGAAGGTACCATATATCATGGAATAGCAGGCACTGCAGAGTTTATAGTGATGGGAGTTCCCAGCTACGGGCTGCTTACCTTGTGCAAACCAGAAAGCAGAGAAATCTGGGGCTGAACTCAAACCAGATGAAACCTTCAAAGCTCACTCCCAGTTTTGTACTTCTCCCAGCTAGGCACTACTTCTTAAATTCCACAGTCCCCCAAAATGTACTCACAGTTGATAAAGCACATGATGCCAGAGGACATTTTACATCCAAATCATGACAAATTGGGAGACAAAGTACAGGCCCTTAACAGCTTATCCCTAATCCCTTCCTGCTACCTACTTAACTGCTACTATTTTGCATAGAGCTTTGGTAGACAGGACCACTCTACTCCAGCTTCCATCTCGTGGTTCAGACCCTCTTGTCTTTGCCCTTCGACACTGGAGGAGCTAAGGACTTCCTGTAAGGACTAATTTCTGATTTCCCTCACTCTGATTTCAGCTCTTTCATCTTTTGGATAAACAGTTCTTTGCACCAAATTATTTACTGTGTGTTAGTGGAAATGCTTAAATGGTTTCTGCTGTTTGGTTAGGCATGACCAAACATCATCCCCATCAACGCCACATTTCCTGTTGTCATAACATTATTTCTATTTTCTCTTTCATTACTAGCAAATCCAGTTTGTGAAGGCTTAACATTTTTATTTGGCCCCTAGCTGAGACATGTGTTTTCATGGAGAAGTCCTAAAGCGAATAGAGCAAATGGAATTTTACATCCTACTGGAATACTTTGCAGGACAGAAGAATGATATTTCTAGTGAAAACAATTGACCTGCCTGCTTGCACTATTTGAGCTATTTTATTTCTCACTTAATGTTTTAAATTCCAGGAAGAGTGAGCAAAAAATCACTTACATTTTTAAAGAGTTTCATTTGAACAAATTTAATATAATTTCTTTTCACAAGAACTTGCAAATGCTACAGTGATCCCTGTCTGATACACTGGGGCAACAAAAGCCCTGAATTTGGTTTTATATTTCAGAATTTAAGGGTCCCAACTATTGATAGATATTCCAAACCTGAGGTTAGTATAGTATAATTAAATTAGGAGCACATTTTTCACAGGAATTTAACCCACCATCAGCAAAGATTTGATTTCCTGGAAATAGCTCATGCTGAAGGCACTATCAGTCCTGTAAATGTGACCTTGTTAGACAAATGTCACCATAGAATTCCATGATAAGTGGTGTGATCATGTGCTGGAGGGCATTGTGGATCTTTCCAGTAGATTTAAATCCTGGGAAATACACTGTTTATATCATTACTGCCATCTTTGAATTCTGATAAATACAGACCTAGAAGACAAAAGACAATATGGAGTGTCCTTTCCTTGTATTAGTGTCTGGTTTTTCTTAGCAATCTTACAAAAGTAAATGAGAAGAG